TACTAACAATATATGCCAACCTGTACAATTTACTGAAGAAATAAATGGTAAGTAAACCAAGCAAACATCCATATAACATAATAACGAAAAAAATATTATATCTAAAAGCTAATATGTAGGGATCATTCAGAATAAGCTACCAAGACAAAAACATCTACATCAAGGGTCTTTACAAATGCAACAGAGATTCAAATTATTAATTTATACTACCATCACAATATTCAAAATATGTATGATTTTACAAGACCTACTCTATAATCCACACAATTTAACCTACTATAGTTTATTAATATATAGACATGCTATTGTACCTTTAAGACAAAGATAACTATCATTTGTAATAGAGTTCAGTCGTGGTTCTACATTTGTAAAGGTTGCAACAAGAAGGTAGACAGAGATGTTAATAACGAGTGTCCAAATGAAATATTATAGAATCGCCGATTAATTAGTAACCAAGTTAGGTAATATCCCTTCTTCATGAAATAAACATATCAAAATTAAATATTAACATTATAATTTAGGGCAAATTAACAATGAAAAATACAGTTATTTAGTTCAGATCATCACGAAAAATGACATGAATAGAGCAAATATAACATGATGCTATAGAAACTCCTATTGGATGGACAATAGAAGAATTTATTGCAGAGCAAAAAGAGGTAACTCCTAAATTCCTTTTTAAAATAAATTTAAACTATTATAACAATTATAGCTATATATATATATATATATATATAGATATATATTATAATATATTATATTATATTATATATATATATATATATTATATGGTATAATATGTATGTATATATATATTAGTATATATATTATTATTATTATCATAATATATGTATTACACACACATAATCACATAATATTACACATCACACACCACCACAGCACACACACACACACATTATATAATATATATATATAATATATAACTACTATATATTACATATAATCCTATATAATACATATATATATATATTACTATATATATAAATATACAATTATATAGATATATATATATATATGATATATATAGTAATTATATATATATATATATATATATATAATACATTAATACATATAGTATATAATAATACTATATATCATATAGCATATAATTATATATACATACTATATATTTATATTGATATATATATACATTCTAAAATACATATATATATATATATATATAATATATTATATATATATATATATAATATAATACTAGCACCATATATATCATATATCTATATATATGATATATACGTACTATATATATATTATAGTATACTATAATATATATATAATATATCATATATAAGCACACCCACACAACACAGCACACACATCCAGCAGCACCTATATAATAATAATATATATAATATATATATATTAATATATATAATATATACTATATACTTATATATATATATTATATATATCTATTCCTATCATATATATATACTACTATATATATATAATGAAATTGTAGCATTATTCTCACTAAAAAAATCAAAGTCCTTATTCAAAAAATTTGTGTTGAACATCAAAAGTACATTCAACTTCCTTGTGAAATACATGTCAACACAAGTGTACTCATCTATAACTCAGTTAAAATTTTGAGAATTTTTTCACATTAAGTAAATTTGATGTGAATAAAAAAATGGGCGGGATTGTCTAAAGGCCCAGGTTAGTGGGAGATTTTTCTCCTGTTAACGTGCACCCCCACTGAGTTTTTTCATATGGAAAAAAGGGGGAAATTGGGAGAAATTTCTAGAAATCGGATTGCGAGCTTCAAATCTTAGCTCATCTTCTCTCGTAAATCCTACTAATACTGATTTCTTCTAAGATGATGAAGAATCTGCATCGGATCTGATGGGGTCTACAAATCCAAAAGGAGAAAAAAAGAAGGTTATGCTATCAGATTTGTTGAATTCAGCTCCTGATCTAGCTCCTTTCTCCCTTAGTTCTCTTGGATTTCAATCTTGTCAACTTCTCGGTAATTATTTCAGTCCTATTGCTAATAACTCTGCTAAAAGTTCTTGGCCTGATGAGGTTATATTTGTGATTAATCTTTCACCTCGGCATCAAGAACTGAAATCTGATAGGAATCTTGATTCAAAAACTAATCTTGATTCTGTTACTATTCTTGATTTGGATTTGAATGGAGACAATACTAGAATTACTAATCAAGAACCTGCTAATGGCTCTCCCAAGGAGAATTTGGTTTTGCAACTTGTAATATCAAATTTAGGTAAATCTGATGTCCCTCAAATGGGATCCAAGATCGAAAACCAAAATCCAACTAAGGTTGAGAAGAGTTGGGCTAGTCTTTTTACAGACAATAGGAGATCTGGAACATGTATGAGTTTAAATTTTGTTTCCCCTACATCTAAAGATGTTGTGATTTTTGATGAGGAGGAATGGAATGAAGGTAATTCAATGTGGCAATTCTCTCTAATTGGTCAAGTTTTGGGCTTAAATGTCAAGTTTAAAGTCATGGAAGATTTTATTCATAAAGTTTGAGCTCGATGGGTTATTCCTGAAATTTGCATTAATCTTAAGCCGGGAATCTTTTTATTCAATTTCAAAAATAAGGGTGAAATGAATGATATTCTTGTTAATGGTCCATGGTTCTTTGGATCTAGGACTCTTTTATTAAAGACATGGTCAAGTGGAGATGAAATTGAGAAAATAAATGATTATATCTATCCAATATGGATTCAATTTCTAGCTCTTAGGCTCAATTTATGGAATTCAAAAAGTCTTAGTAAAATTACTAGTCTTATTGGTCGACCTATAGCAACGGACAAGCTCACAGCAAACATACAGAGGTTAGCATATGTAAGGGTTCTTGTTGCAGGTCATATGCCCTCTCCACTTTCAGATCAAATCTCAATACAAGTCCTAATGGTGTGATGATCAAACAAAAGGTGATTTATGAATTGAAACCAAAATGGTGTGAAAGCTATAAGATTGTAGGTCATGACACAATGTTTTGTAGAAGATTCCCTAAGACTCAAAGATGCATGCCAAAATGAATTGCACAGAATGGTAATTCAGGTAGTCAGGATATGCAGGGTGTTTCTGGAACCTGTGTTTAGGGAAATATGCAAGTATCCAGTCCTCTGAACTCTAGAAATTTAAGGGAACATAGTCTAGTGCATGCTCTACACAAACCTGATGTACAGGTTCATGTGCACTTTATTGTACCTGAAGCTGCTATTGCTCAGAATGGTTTTGTAGGTAGTCAGAACATGCAAGGTGTTTCTGGAACCTGTGTTCAGCGAAATATGCAAGTATCCACTCCTCTAAACTCTGGAAATTTAAGGGAACATAGACCTGTGCATGCCAAACCTGATGTGCAAGTTCATAAGCCTGAGAATGTTGTGCACATTCCTGTACCTGAAGCTGCTAAAATTCAGGGGAATGTTTCTAAACAGGTCTTGGGAAATATGAATGTATTGTATGTTTTCAACCCTGTCTTGAATGAAGATATAAGCATGAGCTTAAAGGCTGTTGGTTCCTACAGTAAATCTGAAAGCAACCATGTGCATGTGGTGCATGTCCAAAATCTGATTTATGGTAATGTTTATGTTAGCAACAAAGGCCTTCTACAAGATGTTAATTCTTGGACACAAGTACAAAGTAGCAAAGTTAGGAGAGGTTTCTCTCCAAGAAATGCACACCTCAATAGCTTGGAACATGATCATGATCTCTCTACTATTAAAAGAGGGGGAGTGAGAAAACTATGAATTAGTCTTTTTGGAATGTTAGAGGATTAAATAAAGGAGTTTTTGCTTTTAGGCCCATTTGTTTACTCCCATTTATCTTTAAACCCAAGTACTATTATTTGTATCTTTAAGCCCAATTCACTTTTTATATTTATCTTTAAACGCAAACTTCAAAATACAGTACTTTCAGCACTTGTATTTATATAGAATCCCAAAAATACCCCTTGGCCCCATATAAATATCTCTCCTCCTCCTCACCCTTTTCTCAACTTAGCCTTAAATTAAAAAATAAAAGCTCATTGCCTCCGTCGCCCGTCTCCAGCCGTCGATGCCCATCTCTAGTTGTCGGCGCTCGTCTCTAGCCGCCCTCATCAACTCGACCCTCTCTAGAAGCCCATCAGACTTAATCTCCCTTAGCTTCTTCCTCTGGTGCTCTCGCCAGCCTGACTTCTTCCACGCCCGCGACTCGCTCGATGTAATGATCCCCGTCCTTCGCCGCTTGACATTCAAGCTCAGGTCCATCACAGGCATTGTGGAGGAGCTGGAGGCTATCGGGTCTCCTGCGGAGGCCAAAACTTTCCTGATCTTGATGAGGGTCTACTGCAGAGGGGACATGCTTATCTTCGCTCGAGAGGTGTTTGATGAAATGGGTAGGAGAGGGTTCATGCCGAACACGCTTGCGAGAAATTTGATTATCGATGGGCTGTTTAAGAACAGTCAGTTTTGCGAAGGGATGAGATTTTTTAGAGAGACCCAGATGCCGAATTTCTTTACTTTTAACATTGTGATGAGAAATCTTTGTGAGCACGGGGATTGGCAAGAGGTGTGAGGAGTTTTGAGGGAGATGGTTAGGAGAGGATTTCAGCTCAACGTTGGGTCATTTACTTCAAGTTTAGATTGTTTTAATAAGGTGGGGAGAATCAAGGAGGTCTTTCAGTTGATGGGGTTTATGCATGTTTCATGTATGCGGCCTACCATGGAGATTTGGAGAATTTTGATTGTTGTGTTGTGCCAAGCTGGCAACGTTCCTTTGGGTTTTGGTTTGTTTGGGAAAATGATAGATTCGGGATGTTTGTTGACTGTTGTGTCGTATACGTCGCTTATTAAAGGGCTCCTAAAAGCTCGAATGTTGAGCGAAGCCATTGGTGTTTGGGATATTATGGTCATTGCCTCGGTTACCGTCGACTGCCGCCTCGCCGCCCTTTACACAAAGCTATATTGATGTGTTGATATGTTTGTAATGTACGAGTGTGTTGATGTGTTTGTAATGTATGGGGGCGATTGGTGAGATGTAATTCACATGATGAGGTGGTGAAGTTTTTTAAGAACTAGTTTTATTTGGATGATATATTTATTTATTTTTGCATAATTATGCTTAATTTTTGATGGTGAGGTAAAATTCAGTTGATTGAGAATAATATTTAGAGTACTATGGTGTTGTTTATCTACTTACTTGATTTAATATGATGGTAATTGATGGGGGTTAACATATGTGGATGTTAGTTGAATGCAAGTGCTAGCAAAGGGAAAGGAAAATAGTAGTGTGGATGTTAGTTGAATGCAAGTGCTAGCAAAGGGAAAGGAAAATAGTAGTGAAGCTGGATATGACGTGCTATACTCACCATTGTCTTCCGGAAAATAGTAGTGAAGCTGGATATGACGTGCTATACTCACCATTGTCTTCCCTTGATTTCTTGGATAATGTGCTATACTTACAAAATAACGTGTTATACTTACAAGATAACGTGTTAAACTTACTAGTTAACGTGCTATACTTACTGGTTAATGTGCTATACTTACTGGATAACGTGCTATACTTACAGGTTAATTTGCTATACTTATAGGTTAACGTGCTACACTTACAGGTTAACGTGTTATACTTACTGGTTAACATGCTATACTTACAGGTTAATGTGCTATACATACAGGTTAATGTGCTATACTTAATGATTAACATACTATACTTACAGGTTAACGTGCTATACTTACTAGATAACATGCTATACTTACAGGTTAACGTGCTATACTTACTAGATAACGTGCAATACTTACTAGATAACGTGCTATACTTACATGTTAATGTGCTATACTTACAGGTTAACGTGCTATATTTATTGGTTAACGTGCTATACTTACAGGTCAACATATTATACTTAAGGGTTAACGTGCTATACTTACTGGTTAACGTGCTATACTTACAAGTTAACGTGCTATACTTACTGGGTAACATGCTATACTTACTGGTTAACGTGCTATACTTATAGGGTAACGTGCTATACTTACTGGTTAATGTGCTATACTTACTGGTTAACGTGCTATACTTACAGGATAACGTACTATACTTACAGGTTAATGTGTTATATTTACAGGTTAACATGCTATACTTACAGGTTAACGTGCTATACTTACTGATTAACGTGCTATACTTACAAGTTAATGTGCTATACTTACAGTTAACGTGCTATACTTACTGATTAACGTGATATACTTACAGATTAACGTGCTATAATTACAGGTTAATATGCTATACTTTCAGGTTAACGTGCTATACTTACTGAATAACATGTTATACTTACAGGTTAACGTGCTATACTTACATGATAACATGCTAAAATTTTTAAATTTGTTATTTTTGGTAAAATGTTAGTTAAATGAGGTTTTGTAATTAACCACCCATTAATTTCACATTAGTTATTTCACATGATTATTTCGTACTAATTTCTAATTATAATTTGTTATACTTACTATTGTTATATTGATGATAGATAAATTCTGTGACATTGTCAGATGATTGTTGTTATGTTATTATGTGGAAATTCATAAATAATAATTAGAAATTAGTGCGAAATAATCATGTGAAATAACTAATGTGTAGCACGTTATTAGAAATAAGCACGTTATTCAGTAAGTATAGCACGTTAACCTGAAAGTATACCACATTAACCTATAATTATAGTACGTTAATCTGTATGTATAGCACGTTAATCAGTAAGTATAGCACGTTAACTTGTAAGTATAGCACGTTAACCTGTAAGTATAACATGTAAGTATAGCACGATTAACTTGTAAGTATAGCACGATAATCAGTAAGTATAGCACATTAACCTGTAAGTATAACATGTTAATCTGTAAGTATAACACATTAACATGTAAGTATAGCACGTTATCCTACAAGTATAGCACGTTAACCAGTAAGTATAGCACATTAACCAGTAAGTATAGCACATTACCCTGTAAGTATAGCATGTTAACCTGTAAGTATATCACGTTACCCTGTAAATATAGCATGTTAACCAGTAAATATAGCACGTTAACCTATAAGTATAGCACGTTAACCTATAAGTATAGCACGTTAACCAATAAGCATAGCACCTTAACCTGTAAGTATAGCATGTTATCTAGTAAGTATAGCATGTTAACCTGTAAGTATAGCACGTTAACCTGTAAGTATAGCACGTTAACCTGTAAGTATAGCACGTTAACCTGTAAGTATAGCACGTTAACCAATAAGTATAGCACGTTAACCTGTAAGTATAGCACGTTAACCTGTAAGTATAGCACGTTAACCAATAAGTATAGCACGTTAACCTGTAAGTATAGCATGTTAACCTATAATTATAGCATGTTAACTAGTAAGTATAACACGTTAACTTGTAAGTATAGCATGTTAACTTATAAGTATAGCACATTAACCTGTAAGTATAGCACGTTATCCTATAAGTATAGCACGTTATCCAGTAAGTATAGCACATTAACCAGTAAGTATAGCACGTTAACTAGTAAGTATAGTACGTTATCTTGTAAGTATAGCATGTTATTTTGTAAATATAGCATGCTATCCAAGAAACCAAGGGAAGACAATGGTGAGTATAGCACGTCATATCCAGCTTCACTACTATTTTCCTTTCCCTTTGCTAGCACTTGCATTCAACTAACATCCACATATGTTAACCCCCATCAGTTACCATCATACTAAATCAAGTAAGTATATAAACTACACCATAGTACTCTAAATATTATTCTCAATCAATTGAATTTTACCTCACCATCAAAAATTAAGAATAATTATGCAAAAATAAATAAATATAGCATCCAAATAAAACCAGTTCTTAAAAAAACTTCACCACCTCATCATGTGAATTACATCTCACCAATCGCCCCCATACATTACAAACACATCAACACACTCGTACATTACAAACACATCAACACATCAATATAGCTTCGTGTCGAGGGCGATGAGGTGGCGGTCGACGGCAACGGAGGCAATGACCATAATATCCCAAACACCAATCGCTTCGCTCAACATTCGAGCTTTTAGGAGCCCTTTAATAAGCGACGTATACGTCACAACAGTCGGCAAACATCCCAAATCTATTATTTTCCCAAACAAACCAAAACCCAAAGGAACGTTGCCAGCTTGGCACAACACGGTAATCAAAATTCTCCAAATCTCCACGGTAGGCTGCATACCTAAAACAAGCATAAACCCCATCAATTGAAAGACCTCCTTGATTCTCTTCACCTTCTTAAAACAATCTAAACTTGAAGTAAATGACCCAACGTTGAGCTGAAATCATCTCCTAACCATCTCCCTCAAAACTCCTCACACTTCTCGCCAATCCCCGTGCTCGTAAAGATTTCTCATCATAATGTTAAAAGTAAAGAAATTCGGCATCTGGGTCTCTCTAAAAAATCTCATCCCTTCACAAAACTGACTGCTCTTAAACAGCCCGTTGATATTCAAATTTCTCGCAAGCGTGTTCGGCACGAACCCTCTCCTACCCATTTCATCAAACACCTCTCGGGCGAAGATAAACATGTCCCCTCTGCAGTAGACCCTCATCAAGATTAGGAAAGTTTTGGCCTCCGCAGGAGACCCAATAGCCTCCAGCTCCTCTATAATGCCGGCGATGGACCTGAGCTTGATTGTCAAGTGGCGGAGGACGGGAATCATTACATCGAGCGAGTCGCGGGCGTGGAAGAAGTCGGGCTGGTGAGAGCACCAGAGGAAGAAGCTGAGGGAGATTAAGTCTAATGGGCATCTGGAGAGGGTCGAGTTGATGAGCGCGACTAGAGACGAGCGACGACTACTGGAGATGGGTGCTGACGGCTATGAGCGCGACTAGAGACGAGCGACGACTACTGGAGATGGGCGCCGACGGCTGGAGACGGGCGTCGACGTCTGGAGACGGGCGACGGCGGCAATGGGCTTTCATTTTTTAATTTAGGGCTGAGTTGAGAAAATGGTGAGGAGGAGGAGAGATATTTATATGGGGCCAATGGGTATTTTTGGGATTATGTATAAATACAAGTGCTGAAAGTACTGTATTTGAAGTTTGGGTTTAAAGATAAATACAAAAAGTGAATTGGGCTTAAAGATACAAATAATAATACTTGGGTTTAAAGATAAATGGGAGTAAACAAATGGGTCCAAAAGCAAAAACCCCTTAAATAAATCCTCTAAACAATACTTGGTGAAGCACCACATTTCTCAATATCATCTCTCTTTCATAGGTTTGCTTGAAATAAAGATTAAAGATAATATGTTGCTAATAATTTCCAGAAAAGTTGCAAATAATTAGAGATGGGAGTCAAATGTAAGAACTTCTGGAAAAGCCAGAATTATGATCCTATGGGATCCAAATCTTCTGGATATTCAAATTGTGAAACATTCAGCTCAACATATCACTTGCTCTGTCAAGTCTCTAGATGGGAGGATTAACAATGTAATTTCTACAATATATGGGTATAATCAGCCAGAAGCCAGGAGGGAGCTGTGGTCAGAATTAAAGCAGATTCAACAAGCTATTGGTGATATACCTTGGCTTATCAGTGGTGATTTCAATGCAATGGCTAAAAATGATGAAAAGCTTGGGGTTTCTATATTATCAGAGGGTGACATTAAGGACCTCAGGGATTTCATAAGTGATTGTCATCTTAATCACCTCAAGACTATTGGGTGTTTTACACTTGGAATAACAAGCAAGACTCTAGCTAAAGAGTGTGGAGTAAATTAGATAGATCTCTGGTGAATGATACATGGTTACATGAGCATAATTCTAGTCAAGTGGAATACTTACTCCCTAGCTTTTCTGACCATTCACCAGGCCTAATCTCCATTTTTGATGATTGTGTACAAGGAAAAAGACCTTTAAAATTTTTTAATATGTGGATAAAACATGGCAGTTTCTTGCCTGTAGTCTCTAGTATCTGGCATAA